TGGAGCGGCCGTCTTTCTCCATCGCTAGACCTTCATGATAAAACAACAACAACAACAAACACAACAACAAGGTGTTACCAGACGAGACGAGGGTGAGAATCTCCGGAGGATTAAATCTCACGATGACGACAGATTAAATGATTAATACATCAGAGCCGAGCCTTCAAATATAAATAGAAAACAATCGTCTCGTTATTGTTTTCAAACCTGCAGGACAACAAGTTTCACTAATTACAGAAGCTAATTGAAGAGATTATTGTTGGAAAAAATGAAGTCAGGCAGGTTGTTTCAGTCTTTGTGTGACTGGGGACGGAGGAATGCACGATCCTGGAGTATGACGGGTGAAACAATGGCTGCTCTGTTGCGCTAAGGAGGAGGGGGGGGAGAGAGAGGGGGAGGGGGGGGGAGGCTCCATCAGCCTCATCAATCACTTTCTCCACCTGACATCACCTCGATCTAGAAAGTCAGACCAAACTGTCGAGGGCTCTTCACCTCCTCTGATGATCTCTCTCCCCCCTCTCTCTTCTCTCTCCCTCTCTCCTCTCTCTCTCCTCCCCTCTCTCTCTCCTCTCTCTCTCCTCTCTCTCGCTCTCTTCCTCTCTCTCTCTCCCCTCTCTTCTCTCCTCTCTCTCTCTCTCCTCTCCTCCTCCTCTCTCCCCCTCTCTCTCCTCTCCTCCCTCCTCTCCACCCCCCTCTCTCTCCTCTCCTCCTCTCTCTCTCTTCGGGGTGGAGCTGTTATTTACATTTTTCTGCACATTCCAAGTCAACACCTTGAAACTGTAAAACAAAGCTGATGTTCCTGCACAGCGTGGGATACACAAACACACACACTTCATACTTCCTGGTTTTCTCCCCCGCTGCACGCTCACTTCCTCCTAACCTCAAAGTTAAATTATAAAAGTGAAGGCATGCAGTCAGACATGTGTTTAACTTCATAAATAATAACTTCCATGTTGTACATGGACGCTCGGGATCAATAAAGTATCTATCTATCTTTAGGCCACACACATATGCTGTTGTTTTGGATGCATGTCTCTCTGCACATTATGATAATCAGGACGTCATTCAGTTTAATTCATAATAACTCGTCACTGGTCCTTTTGAGTGACTGTATGTGTTTGGTATGTGTGTGAGTCGTCCTCCTACACAGCGGGGAATGCGCTCAGCCGGGGTGACAGAGAGCGGCTCGACCTGTGAGGCCGGCTGCTACACCGATGACAGGCCGGATACAGACATCATCTCACCCAGTTTGACGAGCACCTCCCTCTCCAGCTCGGTGACCTGCTTGGTGGCCTCTCCAAGGAGCAGCTGAGCCTCATCTTGGGCCGGAGGAGCTCCAGGGTGTCGCTGATCATGTAGTCGATGTCGATGGGGAACGGGTGGTCCTTGGTCCAGACTTCAGTGCTCTTTTTCCACCAGATGTACCGCTGAAGACACACACATGACATCATTTGATCAGCACGTGCATTAATATGACCAGGAGGATTTAACTGCAAGGGCAAGGTCGCAACACTCAGAAAAAAGGGAATTTATCAAGGCAGCGGGAGACAAACAACGCCTCCTAAATTCTGCAAGTTACTTAACTACTGTTACTGGTTTTAAAAAGCATTTTACTCCCAACTCTGCCTCTCTGTTCTTGTAATGCAACATTTAGAAAAACAACCTGAGCACATTTGTTTGCTAATTCAGAGAGGTGAAAAGCTTTTACCACCCAGCAGTAGTTCAGAACGTGTGTGATATACCTGGAAGTAGATGAGGAAACAGTCGAGCTTCCTCTTGCTGGAGCCGCGGTCGAAGTACTGCCCGCAGGTGTCGAGCAGGGTGCAGACCAGGCGGATGCGGAACAGGTGCTCCGGAGGGTCCAGCGAGCTCGGGCTGCCGTCCTGATTGATCCCGAAGGAGATGAAGGAGAAGAGGGTGCGGAAGATGACGGCCGACTCCACCATGCGGTAGTTGTAGAGCTCGCCCAGGAACTTGGCGCTGCTGATCCGGCTGGTGTGAACTTTGGCTGATTGACCTGCAAATGCACAGCGTGGAAATTAATATTCAGGTCTTCAGAAGAATCTGTAAGAGAGATCTGCTACGAGCTGGAGAATGTAACGCATTATAAAAAGTACTTTATAGTATATTCATAGATCGTCTTTACTGATGCATCAACATGAAGTGACAAACTACTTTACATACTGTGGAGGTCGAACACATGCATCATATTTTATTAGGTAAAGCAGTTTTTTCAAAGAGAAGCAAGAAGAAACATGACAAACTGCTCCCACGCTCCCTCCCATCGTACACCTGGTAGAGGCGATTTCACTGATTCAAACACAAGATCTATCAAAACATAATAAATATGACTGTTTTTTTTTTGGTCTTTATTTTAAGAGACGGGACACTACAGCTCGGACGATTTACAGGTTTTGAATCTGAAAAGAAAAAAAGGACACAAATGCGTCTAAACGCAGTTAAATTCATTAGATTTGATTCATTATAATTCTTGTGTTGAGTTCAGAGCTACAACAAGTAACTTATTGAAGGATCCAAAGAAACTTAGGGAGGTTTCACACTTGGGACCCGGCCCCGGATCTAAGTACGCTCGACCCCAAAGTCCAGGTTATCTGACCAGTTTGAACACAATAATAATAATTTATCCTTTATTAATCCCACGAGGGGAAATTCTGTTTTTACACTCTGTTTAATGAACATGCTACACAAACATAAGAAATACACACACATGCACAAACAGGATCCTGTGGACATGCATTTATGGAGAGGTCTCAGAGTGAGGGGGGGCTGCCCACAGCGAGCGCTCCAGAGCAGTTTTTTGGGGTTCGGTACCTTGCTCAAGGGCACCAAACTAGGGATTACAATCTGCAGGACGTTTTGTTTTTGTTCACAGTTTTCTAATAAACTAAATATCTTTGGGTTAAAAAGAAAAAGACAACACTCTTTAGCTGCAGCCTGAATCAGATTCTGATCCACAATCTGGCTCGTACCTACAAGTTAAGAACTTATCAGGCAGCGTGTTGGACTGTTTTCCAGCTCAGTTCAGAGGCTAGACTTGAGAGACTGAGTCGTTATTGTTTGTCAGAGTCTGCGCTGCAGGTTTCACCACGTCGTGCAAAGGTCATGCAAAAACACACGACTTCAGGTGAGGACGGAGCCTGAAGACTCTCTCACGTGTCCCGCAGCATGTTTACAGCGTTCTTCTCATCGGTGACAGTAAGAACACGTCTGTCAGTCAAACGTCAAAACGTGTCAGGGAGGATTAGCGGCTCAACTTCCTGTCCTCTCTCTCACAGAGGATGTTACACAAGCATTGTTATGACACAAGAGTCTCCTCTTACCTCCATGCCCAGTCGGATGTCCTCCAGCACGCCGTCCACCACGTGGATGCCCACGTCCTCCTGGTAGGCCACCAGGCCGGCCAGCAGGTTGGCGACGCAGTGGATGCTGTTGTACTTGACGTTCCAGATGTTGACCATGCAGCAGATCAGGTAGCTCTTCACCTCGGGGTCCTGCCACGACAGCTTCCTCATCTGCCGCAGCACCTTCTCCGTGGTCACCTTGGACAGGTCTTTGTAGAGCAGCTTGCGGATGTACTCCTGCAGCGGCGGCCTCTTCTTCTTCACCGTCTTCTCCACGGGCGGAGGGTTGCAGTAGTAGTAGGCGTTCTCCACCATCGTGACGTAGCGGGCGTCCAGATGCTGAGCCTGCTTCTTACGCATCATTTGCTCCTGAAGTGGAGAAAAAAGATCGGAAAACATCAGCGGCCTATTTTAAGAGTACAAATACTAAAAAAACACTGGTTGAAGTCACAGTGAGGATCAAGTCTGGAAATTGGTCTGGTAGCTGAAGAGATCACTTTCTGAGCACTGCTGAGGCACCCCTTGAGCAAGGCAGGGACCCCCCTTTGAACTGAGTTAAGCATTGCAATCCAACAAATCCTTAATTTTTCTAGTTTTTAAGCCGTTATAAACTCTAATATACCGACATATCTGCAATAGACCGCCACAGGAATGAGTCCTAAAACCAGGAAGTAAGTTAGCATTTGAGCGCCATGGGGTCTAACGTCTAAAAGTCAACGGGGATTTTGATTGTGTTTTGTTAGAGCACATAAACTACGTTAGGTAATACCTCCACTTGTGAAGTTTGAAGTTTTTATGCGTCTTTAAAAAGGCGGTTGCTAACAAGCGGCTAAATGTGACTACAGTGGTTGTCGGGGACATTAAAGGTCATCACGCCGGACACAGAGGGCGGGAACTCTCTCACTAGTCGGCGATGTCTCCTGTAGGTTTAATCTTTAGGTTCAGGTGAATATTATGTTAGTAAACTATTTATTAAGATACGTGGATTAGTTTATCGGAGATCGTCTGAAGCATAACGCTAGTGACATCACAATCATCCCACCGTGGTGGAGTTAGCTTGTAGCATAACGTTAGCTTTTTACTTCTGTCGGCCGCATTAACGCTTCAAACATCATGAAAATGGCGTTCATCTGTGAAGATTATCCTGCTGAACAAAACGCCTACGCTTCAGAAACGTGTGTTTACCACAGAGATTATTTTCTGCAATGATCCAAAATCCAATGAAAAAATGATTGTTCTATTGGCTTCATTTTGTGCTCCAGTTTGATGAATGTCTGATGTCGTTTACTGACCAGTAAGACGCTGGTACGCAGGTGGGAGTCGGGGGATCTGAAGAGGAAGCGTCCGCAGGTCTCCAGCAGCGTGCAGGCCATCTCGATGTGATGATGAGTGAAATCTGACAGCAGCATCTGTCAGGACACAAAAGACTAAATGTCTTTATTTATTCATGAGAAGTAAAACCATCAGACCGCTCCGAGAGGAGGACAAAGCCTCAGATCTCTCAGATTTCTCGCCCACCTTGAGACAATGAAGCGTGTCTGTTTTTGAGAACATTTTGAACTTGGCCAGCTCCCCGATGAATCGGACCGTTTTGTTTTTTGTCTCGATGTTGATCTGGTCCTTCTTCCGGATCTACAACACAAAAAAATTAAATGAAACTAAATTAATCCAGACGAACTCAACGTTGTCCTGCTTAGTTTGCTGCTGCAGACTTCCAGAATACCAACATTCAAAGAGAGGACATTTCAAAAAAGGGACCGATTTATTATTCCACAGGTGTAAAAAGGACCTACATGAAACCTGAAGTCTCCCTTCAGCATGGAGCACAGGTCCTCGGCCACATCCGACATGCAGGGATGAAGAGTCGCGACCAAGCGAGAGTAGAAGGGCAGGAGATCCAACCTGCAGGAGGACAAAGAGTCAGTCAGAAGTTATGAAGGTGGCGCCCCCTGGTGGTGTTTTGGAGGCAGTAGACTCTTAATGTCTCGCAGCTTTACCTCTGCCTGGGGACGGTGAAGAGAGCTCGCACGAGTTTCCTCCTGTTGGACTTTGTGTTCATGTTCATGCAGAAGTCCATGGCAGCCTGAGGGACCGACACAGCACTTATAAATATACAGATGCATCATTCAGTCAGCAACCTGTTACTTATTTAATTGATTTAATCATAAGTAGGAAAATATTACCAGGAGGAAATTAAACAAAAAATACTTCCACAATCAAGTAATCTAAACACCAATAATAGAATGTGTATTAAAAGCTGCTGTTTGTAATCACCTTGTCGATCAGGTCTCTGTTGACACAGTTCGGGAGCTGCTGGATGAACGCGTCCACGATGAGCTTCAGGTGGGACCCTGTGTTGGCCTCTTCATCCTCTTGTTCTACACAAACAAACACATTTTTACAAACAACTTTCACACACTTGAAAATAGACAAGTTTCTGAACAACATATTAATTACTGATTATTTTTTTATTTTGTTTTGGAAAAAGCTGTTACAGTTGACGCTGTGAGTTCATTATGGAGACTGCCGCTCACATCAGGAGGATTTTCAGTCAACAGTTTTTCTTAAATAAATATGTAAAAAGATGAAAGTAAGGAGATGATTTGAGTTTACCTTGCTCATCCAGCAGTTTTTTAGCCAGTTCTTCATTTTCTGCCTCGTCCGGTCCCTCCAGCTCCAGAGGTTCATCTGTGATGTCGAGAGCCTCGAGCTCCAGCTCCAGCTCCTCGGTGGTGGTGGCCGAGTCCTTCCCCTCTCTGCCATCTGACAAAAGAGTGCAACAAAGTCAGAATAAAACACACTGTGTGGATCCCTCACTTTATCTATCAGTGGATTCACTCAACACACCTTTGGCTTCGTCCTTGTCTTTGCCCTGGTTGCTCTTCTCGTTGTCCTTGAAGAGGATGGCAGGAACAAAGGCCTTCAGGTCCACCAGGTTCTCGTAGAAGTTACGAGCGTCTTCGTCCTCCCAGATGCCTCCCTCCAGGTCGTACTCTCCGGGCTTACCAGGGGTGAAAATGTCAATGCCGGGACCGTGCTCTGAGAAAAGACCAGAGAAGACAACATTATGTAGATAAATCACACATTAAAAAAACTTTTTCATTTGGCTTTGATTCTGGTGAAGAAGTGCCGCCTACCCTCCTGCACGGTCTTGTCCTGAGGCAGGTCTGGCATGTTCTCGTCCAGCAGATCGGCGAGGGATTGAGTGTTGGCCAGAAGCTTCTGGTAGGAAGTGGCAAACTCTTCATACTGCTTGTGCCGGTCCTCACTCAGCTCCCCTTTAGAGTGAAGGATCCGCCTGGAAAGCAGAAAGAAAAGTCACTGAAACATTAGTCCTACTTTGCATCAAAATAAATTTGCCTTCAGTGATTTTTGTGCTCCAGTATTTTCTGTCTGAGAAGGAGTCCACTGAATTATATTTTCTGAGTTCTTTCTCTGAGAGCATCAACCTTCATGTGAAGCGGCTGAAGCACAAGAGTTTCCTTCTTCCTTAAGCCTCAGGCATCAGTTTAATTTACGACCCTCTTAAGTCACTAAGGACAAAGATTTCCATGCCAAAAAACTGATATAAAAATAGAACAGATTGATATTTTTTTCTACTTTTTTTTGCATAAATCTCTTAAACAACTCCAGCCCTGCTCAAAACTACCAAATATTGAGTAATTATCAGGAATTTAACCCTTTAAATGCCAGTTTGATTACATGATTCTGGCATTTAAAGGATTAAATTCCTGATAATTATTATTAATTTGCATTCCAAAATGTGTCAAGAGAGACTTTCTTATAAAAACGGTGCCATATGCACTGACACAGACAACATGATGGCCAGATGAAGAGAAACTTTTGCCCAAATGGACAAAAATGTCCGTAGTGATGCATGAGGGTTAAAAAATCTCCCTGGCTTTAGCGTTCTAGATGAGAGCAGTGTAACCAGGTTCTGGTTCTCACCTGTTCTGCCTCTCCGTGTTCTGCAGCTCACGGTGGTCTTTCTTCAGGTGTTTGGTGAGTGAAGTGAAGTACTCCCTCAGAAGGTTCTGGAAGGGCTGCTGCTTCTCCGTGCTGATGATCTCGCTCGGAGGGAAGGCCAGGCTGAACTTCTCGGCGGCCAGCTTCACCTTGCGGGGGACCAGGCCGGCGATGTCGTCCCCGCAGTGCTTGCAGAAGCTGATCACGACCGACACGTGGGTGTGCGTCTCGCGGTCTGTCCCGATGATGTTCTTCAGCTGCTCGTAGATGAGAGAGAGCCCCTCTTTGTCTGTGAAGAGGCCGACGATGGTGAGCTCGGCGATGAAGCGCAGGTCCGTGCGCAGCTTGCTCACGTTGGGCGCCTTCTCCTCCTTCCTCGCCTCAAAGTGCTTCTTCCAGGCCTGCAGCAGCAACGGAGCGAACTCAGTGTAGCGCTGGTGGAAGAGGGAGCACAGGTGGACTGCGCAGCCCACGTCGGAGATCTTCAGCTTGGCCTCCACCACGGAGCTCACGGCCTCGCCGATGTACTTGCTGAGGTTCAGCGAGTTGAAGTCGTTGGAGAGCGAGTCTCGCTGCTGCTCGGTGAGCGTGCGCAGCTTCTTGACGAAGGCGGTGTTCTTCTTCAGGCTGGAGTCCAGGCGGCTGAAGAACGCCTCCTCGGGACGACCGTCTGAGGCGTTCTGGTTCTTGCTTCGGAGATCTTTCCTGCACTGATGGCGCTCCCAGGCCTCCTGGTGCAGCTGATGGCTCTCCTCTTTCTCCCTGCAGAGACGAGGCCGAACAAAAAAGTGTAAATAGAAGAATGTCACACTTTAAAGACCTGTGTCATAAGCAATCATACATCTTAATATGTCAAACTTTAAATGGTCATTTATGAGTTTTCAAGATGACATCAAGCTGTTTAACAAATTACAGTTTTATCCTTACAGCACCTTAAACTTTGGATCTTGGGTTCTTTTCATTTTTCTTCATAGTTTTCTCGTTTATACTTTTCTGGTATTTCTCAGCAGATTTTTGGGTGTTTCTCCACCATGTTGCTCATAATGATTCTCATTTATAACAGCTGAATTATGTGAGATGGTGTATTTTTAGAGACCAGCAAAGGTCACATCACTTACTTGAGGAGAGCGGCCTCTTCCTCGCGCTGTCGTTTGGCTTCCTCCTCTTGAAGCTTCTTCTCCTCCTCCTCCTGCTGCTTCTTCTCCTCCTCCTCTTTCTTCTTCAACTCCTCCTCTGCCTTCTGTTTTTCCTCCTCCTTCTTCCGTCGATCCTTTTCCTCTTTCTTCTTCTTCTCTTCCTCAAGACGCTTTCTCTTCTCCTCCTTGCCCCCGTCCTTTTTACCGCTCATTTTGGCCTCGTCTTTCGCTTTGTCTCGAGCAGATCCCGGTCTTCTGTCACTGTCTCGCTCCTTCTCTTTGTCCTTGCCACCGAAGGGGCAAACATCTTTCTCGTCCATGTTTACTGAGCGCTTGCGTTCAGCAGGCATACTGAGGAGAGACGACAAGTAGAGGATGTTTAAAAGCACAAGAAATGCTGCTGTTAAAAAGGTACACCAAAAAAAATTGGGTCTCTGGGATGCATCAGTTATACATTTTACAATTCTACAATTCACTGAGCAGACGCTTTTTTCCAAAGCGACGTACATCAGAGAGTAAGAACAACACAAGAAAGGATCTAGAAAAAAGGGAACAATGTGAGTAAGAGCAAACGATCAGCTTTGAGTCTGATTGGACACACAGGTGCTGACAGGAAGTGACCAGAGGCAAAGCACAACATTGAGGGCAGTTCTTGAGAGCTCTAATCAGTATAGAAACCATCATCAACCATTTTTCATACATAACTTTAAACATCGCCCAGTTTGAGCGAATTTAAAAGAGCATTTTCCAAACACAGCTGCTCTTAGTTATTGTTCTCTTGCTTTTAAATAGTTGTTTTTATGCTGCTATTCAAATAAGTATCATTAACACAACGTTAAAAACATAGTTCATTTATATATTTATTGTTATGATATATTATTATTTCATATATATAAATTATTTTGACTGCTTTATTTTAATTTATTGACTGTTTTTCCAAGTCTGAAAGTCAAAGTCACCACGTTTAAGATTTATACATTCATGTGATAAAGATGTAAAATGAATGCGTCATCGTGTTTAATAATCGTGATGTCAACATCAAACCAATAGAATAGAATAGAATAGATAGATCGATAGATATATATAGAATAGATCGATAAATAGTCCAAACACACAATATTAGCAAAAAACACAATATTAGCAAATTTAAACACAATATAATATTTAATACAAAGTCAATAAGCACTAAAAATATCAAAACTAAGAATGGGAATATAAACAACCAGGATTTAACTTAGCATTACTCGTCTTAAATATGAAGATTAAATGTAAATGTGCAAGAACAGAGTAGTAAATGGACAGTATTGACATAAGTTAAAGTGCATGAGTGTAGATATATTATCAGCAGAAACTATTCAATACAACAGAGAGCAGACAGACAAATGAAATGAACATGAGTGCAGGGATAATTTATAAATGTGCAGAACATGTTGATAAGGATTTTAACCTTATAACCGAGCAGCCCTCCTTTAAACATCATTATTATTATTATTATTATTATTATTATTATTCTGTGTGTCTGCCTGTGCTGCCAATGACATGAGCTGCCTAACTGTGTTTGGTTGTGTTTTATAGAGATGACATTAAAGATGTTCTATATTCTATAGATGTCATATATTCTATTCTACTCTGTTCTATATTCTATAGATGTTCTATATTCTATTCTACATTCTATAGATGTTCTATATTCTACTCTGTTATATATTCTATAGATGTTCTATATTCTACTCTGTTATACATTCTATAGATGTTCTATATTCTATTCTACATTCTATAGATGTTCTATATTCTATAGATGTTCTATATTCTATTCTACATTCTATAGATGTTCTATATTCTATAGATGTTCTATATTCTATTCTACATTCTATAGATGTTCTATATTCTATTCTACTCTGTTCTATATTCTACAGATGTTCTATAATCTATTCTACTCTGTTCTATATTCTATAGATGTTCTATATTCTATAGATGTTCTATATTCTATTCTATATTCTATAGATGTCATATATTCTATTCTACTCTGTTCTATATTCTATAGATGTTCTATATTCTATTCTACATTCTATAGATGTTCTATATTCTATAGATGTTCTATATTCTACTCTGTTATATATTCTATAGATGTTCTATATTCTACTCTGTTATACATTCTATAGATGTTCTATATTCTATTCTACATTCTATAGATGTTCTATATTCTATAGATGTTCTATATTCTATTCTACATTCTATAGATGTTCTATATTCTATTCTACTCTGTTCTATATTCTATAGATGTTCTATAATCTATTCTACTCTGTTCTATATTCTATAGATGTTATATATTCTATTCTACTCTGTTCTATATTCTCTTCCGTCTGCATACAAACACATTTAGCTAAATTACCCGGATGTTTATCTCTTTGTCCAGTTTTAAACACGGTGTGTGTGTGTGTGTGTGTGTTTTCTGTTGTCTGTGTAAGAGAATAAACTGTAAACACGGTGTGTGTGTATGTGTGTGTGTGTGTCTGTGTGTGTGTGTAAGAGAATAAACTGTAAACACGGTGTGTGTGTATGTGTGTGTGTGTGTCTGTGTGTGTGTGTAAGAGAATAAGCTGTAAACACGGTGTATGTGTGTGTGTGTGTGTGTCTGTGTGTGTGTGTAAGAGAATAAGCTGTAAACACGGTGTATGTGTATGTGTGTGTGTGTGTGTAAGAGAATAAGCTGTAAACACGGTGTATGTGTATGTGTGTGTGTGTGTCTGTGTGTGTGTAAGAGAATAAACTGTAAACACGGTGTGTGTGTATGTGTGTGTGTGTGTCTGTGTGTGTGTGTAAGAGAATAAGCTGTAAACACGGTGTATGTGTGTGTGTGTGTGTGTGTGTGTAAGAGAATAAGCTGTAAACACGGTGTGTGTGTGTGTGTGTGTGTGTGTGTGTGTGTGTGTGTGTGTAAGCTGTTATTAGTTACTTTAACGGGCTGTAAAGTTTAAAACGCGTCAATGAGCTCATTAAAAACACAGTTAGCATTAGCACTGCTAACGCGCTTAGCTCGGCCACTTCATTACGAGACGTGAACACCGACGTAAAAACACGTTTTATACACGTTAGGCGGCCTGAAGTCGTCGTATTACACGATAAATATAACATAGATGTCAAATCATTGCCTAGAAGTTGTCATTAAGTGTGAATGTTGCTGTAAATTAAAACGGTTTACCTGCTATTTGTAGCATAACAAACATCGGTCATTAGCTTTGGTTTCCGTGTGAACCGCCGATGGACCCCGTCAAAGGCTTCCCCCAAATATGCCTGATGGAAATTAACTTTTAATAAAATAACATGTTTTAAATGTTTTCTATCCGTATCCATACCTATACTTTGATATTAACGCTATATTGTTATAATATATTTTTTTATTTGTGTGCTTTACAATTACGTCACATTGACAGGCAGTAGTTGAGGCGACTGCTAATTAACATAACGTATTGTTATTGTTTTGTTTTTAAATGTTTCTGTTATTTTTCTTATTTGTGCGTTGAATAAAACTGCAACGACATCATTCAATCAGATAAATGAGAGGGCGACAGTATTTATAAATTGGTAAAATAAAGAAGTACGTTTTCTAACACTAGGGGCGAAAAACAAAGACCAGCATTTTATTTTTAATGAAGAGGAAATTTAATTTAAGAGGGTCGTGTATGTTCAAAACATATTAGTGATTGATGAGTGTAACTTGTGTGATAGGAAATGTAATAATAAAGTTATTCGTACTATCCTTAAATCTATGTTCCATGATTACCACAGAGAGCTGCAGACTAAGGTCACAGAGTTCATTGAGCTTTCTGTTCTGACTGAAGCACATTCCAAATATATTAAGATTTCTGTTTTCCCTAAAGTGAAAGAAACCCATTTTAAATGTTTAAAATTTCTCAAAAACAGGTTAAATTTAGATGTGAACCCTTCAGTGCTTTCTGTGGTAACACTGAAGAAACTTCAGAGCTTGTTTGGATTCTGTCTCAAAGATTTTGGGTCAACATTAGAAGTTGGTTGTCGCTAAACATTAATAATATTCCATCTTTTGATACTTATAGTATTCTCTATTTTATGGATAATTTAAACCCTTCAATTACTGACATGGTAAATGTTATTTTACTGAGTTAATATCATATTCACTGTAGTAAGAGGAGAAACAGAAAACCCTCCTTTGACCGATTTATAAATGATTTCAAATATTTTTTCTTATCCCTGAAAAAAATGAAATCTAGAAAGATTAGTGCTGATTTACCAAAATTCTTGTTGTTTTGATTTTTGGCCCTTGTTGAATTTTTTTTGTCCTCCAGTTTGTTGTCTGCTTACATTTGCCTGATGTTTTCTTTTGGAAAAGTTAGATTTTTATTTATTTATTTTGATATATAATCCCCTATAGTCTTGATTTATGTTTGAATTAACTTGTTTCTGTGTTTTTTGCGGTTGTATGTTCATCCTCTTTAAGAGTTTGTATAAACATTTTTTGTACATGTTAAATTTGTCAATAAAGACGGTTTAAAAAATAAAAAATGAAAAAAATGTTCAAAACAAAGTGAGAACCAATGTAAAATAAAGATATCATGTGGAACAGTTTTAGTGATGTGTTCAAATTGTGTAGTTCTCTCTGGAGTTTTAAAAAACACAACTCATGATGTAAACTTTTGTTTGATAACGGTGTAAAATTATTGAGAATTTAGGAATAATTAAGAGTATATCTGGATTTGTTATTTTCTATGTTTTGTATTGCTGATGTTCTGCGTTATATGGAGGAGAGAGCCTTTTACTCTGCTGCCCGACGACTGTGAAATGCTCCACCTGACCACCAGAGGGCGCCACAGACTCTGGGCTCCTTTAAACTTTACTCTTAAGTTTAAGTTGTTCTATGCCCATGATTTTAACTCTGCCTGATTTTAGTTGTTGCTTTTATTCCACAGTTGAAGCACTTTGAGATGTTTAATTACCACATGCAGAAAGTCTTGTATCAGGAATAAAAAGACAGAGGCAACATGTTAACACAAGAAACATTTTTAATCATTCACAGAAAATTCTCATCAGAAAACAAGAAATTAGAGGTCTCTCATATATTCATCTTATTATTCAAACTGAAGAGCTCTTAAAAATGTCTGTTAAATAAACAGGAGCGTCTTAAATAAACTCACAATAAATATTTGAATAAAGACATCGAGTAACTCTTCACTTTATAGGCTGTCATTTCCTTTTTTTCATTTTACTGGAAAGAACTATTTAAATTAGTGTGTCAAAGGTTTGATAATAAATTAGCCAATCAGACAAGAGAGAGAGTTCCTATTATCACAATAATAAATCTACAAAATAAACCTCTGCGTGAAAGGATAAAGGAAATGACAGACCTATAAATAATAATAAGGTAAAGCTTTACTTTACGGGTCCTTCATCTTTAAATAATCTCATTATTTACAAAAAGTCTCCAGGAAAGAGTTTGACATTTGGTGCTCAGCAAAAGGAAAATAGACGAAGATATTCTAATTAATTTAAATTATTTCATAGTGCGAACAAAAAGTCTTTCAGTCAGATAACGTGCTGACATTTCAAAACCACAACTAGAGCTCGACCGATTCATTTGCAAGCCGATATTCGCATATCCAGTGACTATCGATATCGTCTAAATTTATAGCAGCTATTCGATGTTACTAGAGTTATTCACCAGTCAAATAGCGTTTCATTTGAGTTTCATTGTATGAAACTAGTAGTTCCCTGTCACCAGCAGAGGGCGCTATATGGCTCACAACAAGCATTACCACTCTCCAGTGTCAAGCAGCAATCTGTGGACAATAAATATCGTGTTTGATAACTGCATCTGAGGGAAAACAGAATACATGTGTACATCTATATCTACAGATTGAGGATAGATCTGAAAAAATATCGGCTGATATATCAGTATTGGAGTTTTTTTTAATTTTTTTAAATCGGGATCGGCCCAAAATTCTCATATCGGTCGGGCTCTAATTACGACTGTGTATAAAATCTGTATCAAAATTCCTATTTTTCCTTCAAAATGTGTCACATGACAAAAATCTTTCCAGGAGATGTAATAAGAAATGTCGGACCCATAAAACAAAGAAAAAAGAAGAAAAGCGTTACCGATTGATGTGACAAGACGTAAAGGAACAATCTATCTTTTTTGTGTATTTTTACCCAAACACCCAAAGAATCCCGTCGTCCTGTTTACTAAAGACAAATAAAACTGATTATCCAAGAACGCTGACTGTTAAACTAATTATTCTCACAGCGAGGTTAAAGTGTCACTCAAAGGATTAGTCTGATGTTCCTTATTTTTACTGTCAAACAGAAACAATGAAAAGAAACCAAAACCAACAAGTCCTGTCACCAGACTGGTACAACCACGCCTTCATCTGTATAGTGGAGATCTGAACATATAGCCAATCTGTCTCTTCCTTCTCTGGACCACAGGGGCTCGTTGTAGATTAAAAACTAATCATTGAGCCCAGCGCTGCATTAAAGGTCATGTTATGCAAAAACTTCACTATGTTTCCATAGACTGTCTACAAACCCCCCACTGATGAGAAAAGTCCATCCTCTCCATTCTGTCTGCTCCACTTTTCAGAAAATGTGTGCTCCAACAAGCCGTTTGGAGATGTTCCCTTCATGACATCACAAAGGGCAGTAGCCCCTCCCCCAGGTGGGTCACACTCCCGCATCTAGGTGTTTGTTCTGCCCTCTGAGTCTGCCTTCTCACACAGAAACAGCCTGTAAACAGAGGGGT